TTAAGCGCTTAATCTAGCAACATGAGGCGCTACTGACTGGCAAGCGGCTAAAGCTACTGCAATCGACATACGCAGTGTTGTTGTAGAGCTACTGAAGGGCATATAAGACTTGCGCCATTACCCACTCATACATACACACACATATGTGTGCTACTGTGAGTAAATGGAGCTACAGTGTAAGAGCATATTCGGATTTCGATCGTCTGCCGGCGTACGCGAATAAGGCATTCGCGAGATGCGTGGTTGCCATATTGCTTAGAATTAGTTTGAAGCGAGTCGTTATATAATGTAATATTTTTGAATTAATATCTTGACCCAAAAAACAAACCGAACACAATTAATCATTGGAGGTGTAACATGTTGCGTTATCTAGCGGGCTGCGGCCTTTGATTGAAAGTAGCAAAAAAAGTTACCATAGCTATATATCTGTATTTAAGGATTATTCTCTGTATTTTCCATAAAAACATAAGTTCTGTTGACAGTGCTATACCTAGAGTGAATGTCCAATAAGCCTGATATATTGTCGTTTAGATATCAATAACATATGTTATGTTGTTGTTATATAGACCCTGTTTAGCTCTCTCTTTGTCAGCGACTTCTGAATTAAATGTCCAATATATCGCTATTCAAACTGAGAAAATATAACCAATGTTCCGCTACTCGCCGAAAAACTGTTGCATGAATTTTTTTTCTTGATTAAATATTGTATCTTTTCAAATACACCTTTAACCAATACGTTTACATTTTGAAGTAATGTGTTTAATTCTTGATGGTGTTTAGAGAACCTTCGTCGATATAGTTTAACACATATTGCAGGTGTTAAAAATTGTTATTGAATGGAAAGCTTATATTTTAAGGGGAGGTAGGGTTAGATGGTTTAAAAATCAATTTTATATTTTATAAATGGTTAGTAAAACTATTGAAAAATATGTTCCCAAATGTTTAATAAAATTTTCGAATCGTGCTTTTGTTATAAGCTACTTAAGTATGATGAATAACTGTTGTGCAAGTCTCGAAAGAGAGATTTATCCAAAACGATGTTTTTTTTTTTTTAATTTCGGGCAGTTACTATCTTCATAGCGCTCTTTATAAACTTTATATTCGAGTATTATCACAATTTCAAATAAGTCCCAATATAGAAGGAAGATATAAAGTAAACGAGCACTCTTCGTTTGATTAATACCATGTACGAAAAATGCTGAATATGATTGTGACCTGCATTATGTGGTCGCTAATATCTTTGGTTTTTAAATAAACTTTTCTTAAGTATTATTAATTTTTATACAAAATATATATACTAACTTTTGTTATAAAAAAATGCATGAAAATCATTGAAAGAACGTTGTCCGACCCATATTTCCAATGTAGCAAATATTGATGATATTGAAATATGTATAAAAACTTAAATGCTGGTCTAGGATTTCCAAACAGTCGATTTTTTTGGCTTTTAGTACACTTTAAGGCCCTAAACTTACAAAATTGGAAAATTGATTTTCCTTATTCTATCCAATTTAGTGTCGAAGTGGTCGGATCAGTCAGCTTCAAGACATCAAACGTTTTTCCAACATTTGCTAGAAAATGCATTTTCAAATCGGCCATTTTCCAAAATTAATATGAAGCTGAAAACGTACGAACTTTACTAGAATCATCGTTACTATCGAAAAGTTGATTTCGATTCGTATTTTTATTACAATCAACACATATTTAACGAATTCTCAAAAAGAACATTCGATTTCCTTTTCTGGATTAAATTGTCAAAGTAAGCGTATTTAGAGTTCTACACTGACCTAACTCCTTAAGTCTGAAAACTAAATAAACACTGTAAATAGCAAACTTATATTCTTTATTATAATTCTTTTATTTCATACTATTTTAGTAAGACAAACATTTGCTATAATGTTATATGACACAAGTTCTAGCAAAAAAAAAGCCCTAGGAAAACAAGAAAAATTCTTCTGCAAAGATAATAAAGAGCGGCCTGCGATGAAATAATTAAAGTGATACAGCTGTTGGGCAATCAAGAGACAGCCAAAAAGAAAAGGTTATTACGGTTCAACTGTGTTTTAACATAAAACGTTTAAATATATAGGAAATAAATATAACGATTGGCAACACTGCACAAAGCTGTCAACTGCCTGAATGGTCGCTAACAATTTGCAATGAAAATAGAAATTAAGAAGTAAGCAGCTAAATACAAAAATGTGCATGTGTGCGCATAAATAAACAAATACTGGGCGAACTAAATGCCATTACTTGTAGATTTTCTCGCGCGAATTAAAAATGCAGACAGATGTGCGCACTAGTCAACTACTCTATATGTAGTATATACACTAGGGTGGGTAAAAAAACATAATTCTTTTTCGCTTGATACCCTAAAAAATAGGTTCTTAGACACGTTCAAGGTAATAAGAGACCATTTGTAGAGCAGTAAATTTTCTACAAAACTATAGTGTCCGATTTATGAAAATTCTTAAATAATCAAACTTCAAGCGTTAATATCTTGCAAACTGCCAGATTTACGAAAAAAAAATTTACGAGACTCTTGTGTAGAGCAATACAATTTCAAACAAAATCTATGAAACGAGATAATTTTTCAAGTAGTTCGAAGCGAATTTCGAATTTTTTCTATCTGATAATTAAAAAAAAATAGAAAACTGTAAGACGAAGACCTTCCCGTACAATTAAGAGCTCATAATTGAAGTACGTACTTTCTTAGAGGTCTCTTAGAACTTATTTTCAGAATACCAAGCGAAAAAGAACTCTTTTTTTATCCACGCTAATATCCATTTTATATGTGATATATATATATATATACCAGGAATCGGTTATATACAAATTAACATATATAGTAATAGTTGGCGTAAGTATTTTATCGTCAACATATAATACTTAAGTGGATATGCGCTTGAATAATGTATTCAAAAATTCATGTTTTGTGTGTATGTATACATATATATATATATAATATATACACTATATGAATATTACTGTGCAATAAAACAAACAAGTCTAAAGAAACAAGTGTGACAAATACTCGAGTTCCTCAAGCATTGTTGTTCTTACTTGTGCAATGATGCATTGCGAGACCGTCAAGTTTCAAGGATAACACTGAGCTCAAGGGTATAATTAGTCGGAAGTAACAATAAGCACAATTATTCAAATACATTTATGAAAAACTAAAATGTATGTATTCAATATTAAAACTTTATATTTGTAATATTTATGTGTATTCTCAAGACAGTGGGAATCAATGAACATTTGATTTTATATTCAATTATAAGATATATCTTGATATCACCCACTAAACTTATTTAATATTTATGATTAGATATGAAACAAGTAAGGAAGTTCTAAATTCGGGTGTTACCGAACATTTTATTACTCTCCAAAGTGATATACTCGTTTGAGATTTCTTTATATATTTTATAATTCACACTAGATCATCGACCAAAGTTGCTAAATTTTATATATATAATATTACAAGCTATATAGAAAACTCAACTAGAGAATCGGAATTCATTATATGAAGGTGTGAGTTTAGACTAAGGTATATAATAATTTCATTCTAATTCAGCGTTAAACTACATAATTTTTAAGAAAACTTATCCACTTAGTTTCATTAAAATATCACACTTTGATCAACCGGAATGGTTTAAAGTCAGGTGAAAAGACGGAAATCATATATTGACATTGCTCAGCTATACTCGAGAACATACTTTGAAGCAATTTTATATATAAATAATACTTACTGACCGACATATTCGCCATAAAACTTGTTAGGATAACAAAAATCATATCAATAATATATGAGAGTTGGGCATAGTATTGACTCAAATTTAACAATTTGCCAATACTACATACCACTAATATGCCAGAACCTAATAAAATACTTCTAGGTTTCATTCAGAACCACACATAACATCACCAATCATATGGAGTAAAGTCAGCCGGATGCTCGAAAATCTGATATTAGTTATTTATCATATTTTGCCCAATTTTATCCATTTTAGGCAAACAGACTCTTATAGTAAAACGCGCTTTCTTGTTTTATTGAAATAACTCATATACACCCGGAATTTCAAAAATTTTATATTATGTATATGGGGGCTAACGGGAGTATTGACCCGATTCAACCCATTTTCAACACACAGACAAACTAGTATCAGGAAATAATCCTCTCTAAATTTAATCTCACACATTGACCGATGTTTTCATTACAAAGTCACTATTCGTGAAAAGTTGTATCCCGTTATATATATTTCTTCTTGATGTGTATATCAGAAAAAGAAGGATTCATATGGAATTTAAAATTTTTAAAATATTTTATATACCAAATTTGGTTGAAATTGATCGACCCCGATATACACATGTGAATTCACCTAAAGGTGAGCGGTGCCATGCTTATTGTCCAATTTTCCCGTTATATGGTACCGTTATATAATTTGCTTTGAGTGAATTTGGTTATTATAGATTTAGTGCCTTAGGAGATATGCACAAACCTATTAAAAGGTGGGACCACGCCCTCTTTTAAAAGTTTTAAAATTGCAGTTTCTAAGCCATTAGGGAGTTATGGCTATTTATTGATTTTCGATTAAAAGTGTTTTGTGGCTGTAGCAGTGGTCCGATTACGCCCCTCTACAATACCAACTGTCTTACTGCTCTTAAATCACTCTAATCTCTGAAAATCTTGATCTAAGTAAACCCTTACCAATATAATTAAGCAATAAAGGGGACTTAAGGGAGGAAGAGTCATATAAGACAACCTACAACTTGTATAATGGCATCAGCATACTCATATCATAGCATAACGGCTACTCTAACCTATATAATCTAAATTTATAGTAACTCACAAAATTCTTAAATAATATATATATATAATAATAAAGGTTCTAATTCCCCGATCTACTAAAAAACGTACTCATGCCATTCTCTCGTACTGGAAAACTATGAGCTTTGAAATAAGGACAATATCAGGCTTCAAAGTCGTAAATTAAAACTAAGAAAAAAACAATAACTTGTCACTTAAATAATATTTATGACTAAATTTTTTATATTTTCGGCTTTTATTCAAATTGATCCTTTATATTCTGCCCGACGCCCATTTTGTTTATGAAGGTATATAAGGTAAATGAGAACTTGGCGATCTTGAAAGAAACAGGAACTGAAATAATTTCTCTCTTACAAAATTGTGAGAGTGCTTTATACACTCTCATCCCACGACTTACCGACAAATTAGTGCCCAAATTAATTTTAAAAAACTTAACAGCTACGAAAGAGATTTCCTCCTGAGCGTGATGTAGAAAATAGATCAACACATGACGCGAACGTTTATCCAAAGCTAACCAATTGCAATGGAAGATCGCATTGGGCAACTTTTCGCAGTCCAACTCGAGCATCGAGGCCTGATAGCAAGTGACTGAGGTTTGCAACAACACACAAAGGTAATAAACAATCGAAATTACCCGATGACTCGCGTCAGCAAATATGAAAATATTGAGCATGCTGACACAGAGTATACCGCCAACTATTATGAACTGTATAAAGATGGTGAGCGAGAGCACAGAGCCAACAATCCTAGAGATTCTGTTAGTCGAGAGAGAAAACACAGATTTATGAATGAACAATATTTAGCACTTAAAGCTAATTATTACTGCAATAATTCCTGATGCGTCCGCACGCAATCAATTAATTCCTGATAATTGTCTTCGTCGGTAAGATTCGGATTCTCTCCCAACCTGCTCACACGCTCTGTAAGCAGAGTAATATGTGTACGTACAGCTTTGATATAAACAACCGGATATAGATCGCTCATGCATTGAATGGTCAGCAAAAAGTATATATAAATCACCTCGATGAGAAAATGAAGCCAGAAGTGTATGGTCGGCTGTTGAATCCAGTCAACAAGTGGGAGCCATAT